CAGACCACCGGGACTAGGGACCCAGACCACCGGGACTAGGGACCCAGACCACCGGGACTACGGACCCAGACCAACGGGACTAAGACCACCGGGACTAGGGTCTCAGACCACCGGGACTAAGACCACCGGGACTAGGGACCCAAACCGGTCGGGACTAGGGTTAGGGTGTCCCACACGCGCACAGGTAATTAAAGGTGCGTTTCCACCATCTTTACGGCTCCCCACCGGCTAATGCTAATGCTAACGCTAGCTCCCATGCTAATGGAGCCTCTGGCTAGCATCCTCCGGCGGAAAAAGCCCCGGTAGGCGGCCGGACAGCAGCAGGAGGGCAGCCCGGTTCCCCCCCGGTTCCCCCCGGTGGGGAGGCCCGGGTTAGTGGACTAAAGCCGGGTGTCTGGGCTCCGGGAGCCGTGGGGGAGCTAAGCTGCTAGCAGGAACCAAACAACAACAACAACAGGAGCCCAGGCAGAGCCTGAAACACGTGTTTCCCCCCCCAGGGCCCCGGGGACCCCCTGGTAGGCTGTACCGGGGCCGGGCCGGGATAAAGTCTAAAACCGGGAGGTAAATAAGACCTCTTTACCGCTTTACTTACGTTTTTGCTTGTGAGAGTGGGCCGACCGAGCCAACGCGTTTTAGCCGAAAGCAATATGGTTGACGCAGTGGGAGCGGTGCATGCTGGGAAATATGGGGGGGGGGGCAGGTTTATTCTCAAACATCTGTGCCCCCACAATCCTACAATAAAACAAGTCACCTACAAATAAAGCAGTTTTAGCTATGAATATGCTCAGTAAGGCATTAGCTGAGAGGAACAGGGCAGAAATATTTAGATATTGAGAAGTTGTTTTGTTCCAATTTAAATGGCAAACAACATGTACAGAGAATTTCACATCTAATTAAATTGAATCTGTCAAACTTCCACATTTTATAAGTTTTCAAAAACGTATTAGAGTAAACACACTGACCAGGGGTCAGTGTAAATGCACCTGGAGTTGGGATGTGGCCGTATGGTCCTTTAGTCAGGGTTAGGGTTAGAAAGGTTAGCCCACTAACACAACAACAGAAAAGAGGCAGTTTCATCTCCCCACTCTCAGGGATTTCTCTCATCAGACCCCCAATAACATCAGGTTTAGAGGATTTCTAGATAGCAGCTCTTTACTGAGAGATAAACCAGTCTTCCCCATCTCTCTTCAGTTTGGTGAAAACAGTCACGTTACAGACGAGGAACTGGAGATTTAATGAATCATTACTTAAGGCTCCAAACGTAATTCCTTTTAAAAAAAGAATGTCCTATTTATTCAGAAAACCACAGCCTACAGCTACAATAGCTTGTTATCTGGGTTGAGGGGGTGGTGATGGTTAGAGGAAGGATCCAGTCGCATGGCCCAGAGAGGGAAAACAGGGAAACTTCAGAGCAAACGAGGACAAAAGCTGCAGCTGAAGGTGGATGCACAGAATTACTCAGCTCTGAAGAACCAAAGAAACCTGGAAACTGAGTAAACCGAGGAACAGAATGAGGACAGAAATAACTCGTTGAAATTAGGTCATCTAGTCCACATCACACTGTGACCTGAATGACCCCAGTGGAGTTTTATTTCGGGGATTTCTCTATCCTGGTGCTATGACATAAAAGTAAGATTACCAGAGGAAATTACACCATTAAGAGTGATTTGTTCTTTAAGATCTGACACCTCCTGCTAGAGCTGTGTTCTTGTGAAGAATATGGATGAGATCTACGTTATTGGCCAGTCTCTCAATCTCTGTTTGAATCCAGTCCAATACGCAGGTTGCTTAAACATTTTAATATAAAGCAAACAATTCCAACAACGGTACTTCAGATGAAACTGTTGATACAAAACAGCATGCAGTATAAAAGGCTAAACTGTAAAATCACAAACACAAATACTGAGTGGACAAACCCTCAGGTGTAGATTACCTGCTGTTAGTAAGGCTTCATAAAGTTAAAGGCAATGAGGGTTAAACTGCGTGGGAGCCCATCTTGGCAGTGCTGAAAAAAGATGTGGGCTCCTCTTAAGACAAAAAAGTGCTTATTTTCCATCTAGGGGTGAGACCATTAGGCGAGCTGAACCCGGAGAAAACAGAGGTCTCCACTTGTTCCTCCAGACGACCGTGCAGAGTTTGGACACCAAAAAGATGCAGGCCAGCACCAGCTGCACCACTGAGAAGATAAAAGGGACCATCAAAACCATCAAACACGATTAAGACGTACTGACAGGTACAGGGAAGAGGAACACAAAAAGGAAAAGCCCTGAAATATCCCGCCCACAGAAACCGAAAGATCTGTAGTCTAGAAATGAAAGAACACCCAGGACTTTTAATGTACTGTGGCAGAAAAGCATAGCCTACATCCACCTTTTGGTGTAGTATTAACAAATAAAACTGACCTGTAAACACAGAGTTGGGAGTGGGATGAGGCGGGATAAAATGTTGGTAGATGATTCCAGACAGTGCGAAAATCACCACGGGATACACGGTCAGGATGTCACGCACCCACCGGTCCAGCACCCAGTTCTCCAGAATGAACCTGCCACACAGAGAAAACAAACTATAAACCTACATCAACTGTTAGATGAGTTTTTCCAGAGGAGGCCTCCTCTTTTTGATATCCGTCTTGATCTTGTATTTGTGATGTTTTAGTGTGTGATTTGTTGTGTTGTGTACAGTCACTGTGTTTTGTGTAAAAGCCTAACTGGGGACAGGCATTGAGAATTAGCCTTAGCTAAAATGTTATAGTGTGTGACATGTTTCGTGAAACATACTTGTCCCTATCAAATAAACGAATAAATAAATAAATCTGCCTAAAAAATGCTTCATGAGATTTAGAAAGGAATGCTCTCATATTGCAGTTTTTTAGTGTTTTACAATGTGAGCGCCCTGCTTTTCTGCATCAGAAATACAGTTTAATCAGTTTGTCTGCATCAGAAACAGTGTAATCAGTTTGTCTGCATCAGAAACAGTTTAATTAGTTTGTCTGCATCAGAAATACAGTTTAATTAGTTTCTCTGCATCAGAAACAGTTGAATGGGTTTGTCTGCATCAGAAATACAGTTTAATGGGTTTGTCTGCATCAGAAACAGTGTAATCAGTTTGTCTGCATCAGAAACAGTTTAATTAGTTTGTCTGCATCAGAAAAAGTTTAATCAGTTTGTCTGCATCAGAAACAGTTTAATCAGTTTGTCTGCATCAGAAACAATGTAATCAGTGTGTGCTCACCAGGCCACCAGCTCGGCGAACAGCACGCAGAGGGACAGGGTGGCTGCGGTGCTCCTCTCCAGGCCCCAGAGCTGCAGCACCACGGACAGGTTGAGCAGGGAGGCGATGGTGGTCCATGTTGCATACAGGGCCAAACCGTTCAGGACCTGAGACAGGAGGAAGGTTAGTCCACAGCACCCGCAGCTAACGGGGGAGAAACACACTGTGCTGCTGTACCAGGATTCTGAGGCAGGCCAGGTTTCTGCGGTGATACGTCCGTAACCACAGCCCATAATAATCTGTGGCAAAGCAGCAGAGGACCAGGCAGCTGTAGCAGGAGATCACCATCAGCATCAGCACCACCAGGGCCGCCAGCATCAGCCTGCAGGACCAGGAGAGTAGTTAGAGCAGTGGGTTAGGTTAACACTCAGACACACACCACAGGGGGGGGGGGGGCAGTTATACAGTTTAGAGCAGTGGGTTAGGTTAACACTCAGGACAAACGTCAGAATAGAGTTTCTAACGAGGCAATCAGCTTCAAACAGAGCTCCTTAGACCAGTATGTTTCCTGTTAGCCCTCAGAGTGGCTGTGGGAGGAGGCTGGGCATCCCCAAAGTGGAATCAAAACAGACCTACTGCTGCACTCAGTTATCAGGAGAAAGGAGGAATATTCAGGGAATGAAAAGTCCTCATGAATCCAAATACATTTAGAGAGCACTTTGACTCTAGGAGGTGTTTAATGGAGGTCAGACAGGTTGGAGGGGCCAGTTTTATAAGGCTGGATCTCAGAGGCATGCTGGGATCACATGAACAGGACTGACGTGTCCAGACTGGCCTCAGAAGATGCATCAGCGTTTCCTCATCAGGATGTGGTGGTCAGTTTAGATTGACCATTTCCAGTTAACCCAACATGAAACTCATTCAGTTTTAGATCATCGAGGCAAGTCAAAGGACTTCCAGAGAAACTGTGTACAGTGTGGACACAGGAAACAAAACAGACGTCCAGGCTGACAAAGGTCAACGAGAGGAGACTCATTATCAAATAGTTTACAGTTACAGTTCCTACATTTTCCTTTGGAAAAACTTTTTAATTGAATCTGCTTTTTCTATCTTTATGTTGTTTAAGTTCTGTACATGGTTAGAGTGCACAGCATGTTCACACCAGTGTTATTAGTCATTCCTCAATTCAGTTAAGAAAAAGAGATGAAAACACGGGAACATGTAGAGATTTTTTCTGTTTTTTTTCCTTGCCCCCCCCCCCCGCTGTCCTAACCAGGGCCTCCCGGTGTGTGTTTTTTTAACACAGAGACTCACTCCCTGTCCCACAGCAGCAGCCAGGTGATGTTCATGAGCAGGTTGAAGATCCAGCTGCAGTAGAAGGAGCAGGGCAGCAGACACTGGGCCCAGGACCTGCTCACAGGGGAGTTTCAGTTGGTTTGCATGCCAAAACAGGGTGGTAATACCTATCCATGAACCAGACTTACCCCTGGAAAACAAAAGAGGTGAGGTACACCACCATCATGGTGAGCCAGGTGTAGATCAGGCCCCAGATGGAGAAGGTCCAGCCGGCCGGGGTGATGTCTGTGGGGTAGCGGGCCGAAACGTTCCCCGTGCCGGAGTGGAAGGGGCCTGTGGACACGTTAAGCCAGTGGTTATGTTTTACTGCATAAGATATACCCTAGAAACATTTCTGACAGCATAACCCACAGGTTTACCAGTAGCTGGAGTGGAAGGGGCCTGTGGACGCGTTAAGCCAGTGATTTACTGCATAAAATATACCCTAGAAACATTTCTGACAGCAGAACTTGCAGGTTTATTATTTAAAATGGTCACTCCTTTAAGAAGTGTCCCTAAAGCGATAACAACTAGACTCAGAACTGAATGCTCTCATAATCAATCAATCAATCAATCAATGTTAATTTATATAGCACTTTACAACAACTGGAGCTGATCAAAGTGCAATAGAAAGCAGCTCCAGGGACTTATCCTGCATGTCCCCCCATCACAGATACAGATACAGCCTCCATAGCTGAGTGTAAAACAGCTATGTCTGTTTGTGTGCTTTTCTATGTCTGTTTGTGTGCTTTTCTATGTCTGTTTGTGTGCTTTT